CCAAACCAGGCGGAAGCTGGCTGGGAATGATTCGAGGCTCCATGATGGTGGACATCTCGAAAAAAGCGGCGGGTTTCGTCGATGTAGTGTGGTAAGAGGGAAAACGAAGCAGGAAAGTGTCGCCTAGGACGAAATCCGGGATTCTGGCGCAATATGTCCCATGCCACTGGTAGCCACCGGTTCAAATGACAAAGCTGATGACCGAGACACTCTGATCGGATGCGGCGAGACGATTTTCTAGAAGTGAACTCGAAGTTCTTTGTCGGGCTTGTTGACTGAATCGGGAATGGCTAGCTTCGAGGGAATGACTCTGTCGACAAAGGAGGCTTCTATGCAAAGTGCAGGCCAAGCAGTATCTATCAGCCTCTGTCAGGTAAGGCCGCTTCGGTTCCAGTCCAAAAAAATCCGCAGTCTCTAGAAACGTGCTCTTCCCCATGAAATGATTTGGGCGAGAGCCAGATTTTAAAAGAGTTTGTTCTCGAGGGGCCCGGATCACTGTATCTATATTTGAAGCAGACAAAGCCCCCAGGCGCCCGCCGTCCAGATCGGATATTGCCATGCTGGACGTTGTTTGCCAACAATATTGAGCCACATTTACGCCATCCAATGAACTCAATCAGTGGCCACACCCATCCTGTTACCTGCTTAAATCAGTTTGCTTGTTTGTTCGTGTTGTCCCATCGTAAAGGATGCCGGGATGCATCAAGAACTCCCCCGGTCATGTCCTTGCAAGTCGTTGGATCACAGGGCTGACGCAGTGGTTATCCTGCTCCCTGTGCCACCCCTGGCTTCCCACCTGATGAACCACTTGCTCCATATTCGTAGACGCGGGACGGTAGGATCATGAGTTTAATCGACTTTGACAGGCGCAGAACAAGGGTTCCTCGGTGCGTAACGTTGGGGTGTTATTGGAGGATCCCACCATGGATGCTTGGCTGTTATTCCAAGGCTCGGGTTGTACTAGCTTCATCAACCGCCAAAAGACACTCAGTCATTATAACCGCGAGCCAGTAAGATGGACAAAGAAGCCAAGAAAACTGTTGCGCCGCGTGCTGGGCGACAAACACGCTACTCTTCAATCTGGAGGAGCGCCTTCATATTGGACACCGGCAAGCCGTGCTGTCTAGAGTGGAGGTAAATCGCATGGCTGTAAGTGGCATGCATCACAGCAGAAAGCTGAGCGCTCCTATCTTCTTAACCAGCAAATCTCCATTAGCATTGTGCCGTAGAATCGAGTTTCCAAATGTGCGTTGACGACGTTGGTAAATAGGCAAGTTGCGCCCGCAGGCCTTCTTCAAACCTCTGACCCGACACCATGGCTCGAGCTAGGTGATCTCAATCGGCGGCATGGGTAGAGGAATCTCGGCCTCCCCCGCCGACCTCGCCGGACTTTGCAATCAAATGAAGATGGGTCTGCCAAGATAACCCCGTGGGGCTTCCTTAGTGATGAGCCGCTTCTCCCGGGACGAGGGCGATCTTGGAGATCTTCCGCTGGCCTTCTGAGACACGGGGATTGAATAATCGTAACCCCGCTAGCACCATGAGTATGACTGAACCCTCCTCGGCACTCCGTACACGCTGATATAACTTAGGTATTGGAAAACCCTCCAGATCTTGGCCGTTGAAACATGGAAGAACCGTTTGAGGGGTTGGACCTTGAACGCATCCGGGACAAGAAATTGCACATGGCCTGACAAAACTTCTGATTTGGTAGGTGTTTCCGCGTCATGGAACCGCAAACGGAACGAGATATTGCGAACCCCTCGTTCAGCAGACCATGGGTGGGCCGCTGCTGCTCTGTGTGACGTTATCTTTGGAATCCATCTCTGGTGCCGGTCTGGACCCCGTAGACCGAAGAGAGATAGACTTTTCTATGTTTGGAAGCTTTTCAACGAGTTTATTCCATTTCCGACGTTAAAACATGATTGTCTTGTGTCTGGCCTCGAGAGTCTTCATCACATGAGTAAACTCGTCTGCGGGCTGTCGCCAACCAGTCCGTAAGTCTCTGTCAAACTCTGCGACGAGACAGCGCAAGCGCCCTCCCACGCTCCGAGAGTAAATCTTTCACAAAAAAGGTCTTTGAGGCTCGGGGCGAGATCACTTGGCGGGTGCCTTGAAGAAGTGGCGCATCGATTCTTCCTGACTGGACGTGCTTCGTGACGGGCCGTGGCCCGGTAACTTTTCTTCGACGACGCATTAGATGGCAAGACAAGCAGCGGGGCGTGCCCCGTAGCTCCCAATTAAGAATCAGTCTTGGTCAATGAAGTGTTGAAAATGAGCACAATTCGTCCCAATTGTGCAAAGACGAAGCTGGATGGGCATTTCCCAAGTGCTCAAGCCTAACCCACATCGGTCCATCCCTAGCTAGTCGGTCGGAGCTCCCCAAAGCGGGCTTTGTGAGAGACCTAGACGAGAAGGTCTTCCGGAGCCAGAGAAAATTTGTACGGTATACCCAGATGGGGCCAGAGACGGTGGATTGTCGGAAGTCGGACTTTGATGCCTGGACTGACATTGCAAGTCGCCTGCCGTCCCGCTCTGGTCAGAAGGATGGCAAAAGGATGGGAACAAAATGCTGCTAGAACGACCTCCTTTTCGATCCCATCATAAGCCTTTGATCCTTATGCAAGTTCGTGCGAAGGGCTGACATTCCGCCGCTAAGTCAAGCACTGGCCCGTCCCGGCAAGTGGGAGCCAATGCCGTCCCATCTTGTGTCTCGATGGCGTGCAGACCATCGCAGAGCTAGTCAAGGGGTTGTCCCCCAAGCTGCTCTCCCTTCACAGCACCATCAGTCTAGAAGGCGCCGGCCCAAAATCGAGCCCAGGACCTGATTTTACGTGTCTCTGGCGTACGTCAGCTCTATCAGTCGGCTTCTTTAGATCCAGCTCGAACAAGGAATAATTAGCACGTGTATGTGTTGTTGGAGGTCAATGCTGTAGGAGGTAGCAAGTTGTAGCCTGGCATTCCGTGTTGCACGGCGGTTTCGTCAATAGCGTAGTCGTATGTCTTATTCCTTCAGCCCAGCTACTCGAACTACTCGCTGGGAGTAAAACCTACTGAGCTCCATCTCAAAACTTTCTTTCTGCATTCCTCTTACATTTGTCTGTCTTTCTCGTGGTGCGTTTGTGAAAATAGGCTCATGTAGCCGTGCCCCCCATCGCGATGATCCGCCGATATGTGAGCCCGCGGCGACGGCCGTCGCGTTTCCGACTCCCCAGCTGGCTTTGGCTGCTTCTCGCGTTCGGTGTGATGGAGTCTGTACTTCATTGCAGAACCTTCAATGCGCCACGGCCAACCATCGAGCAAGATCAGCCCTTTTACACGTCTTGTCGCGAACCAGATGTGACAGGCAAACGTGAGAATGGAGTTTTGGTGATGTTGGCGAAGAACTCGGAGCTTAAGGAAGCCAACCATACGGTTGCCTCGCTTGAGAAGCACTTCAACCGATGGTTCCACTACCCAATCGTCTTCCTCAACAACGAGCCATTCGACGACCGTTTTATCGAGGTGTTGAACAGTACGGCGAGCGGAGGGGCGACATTTGAAGTGATTCCGCAGGAAGACTGGACATATCCCGCGTGGGTCAACCAAACAGCCGCGAAGAGCAGTATCGTTGAGCAAGGGGCGCGGGGCACTATGCATGCAGGCCAGGAAGGTTACCACCATATGTGTCGTTTCTATTCAGGGTTAGTGACAATTCCCCAACGTCCAGCTTAAGCTTCTTGGGGGCACGTACTGACTTTAAAACCTGCAGGAGTTTCTACCAGCTCGAAGCTCTGCGAAAGTACAAATGGTACTGGAGACTGGAACCCGATGTCGATTTCCTCTGCTCGATTACCTACGATCCGTTCGTGGAGATGGCTCGGCGGAAGAAGGTATACGGCTTTACAATCTCCTTATGGGAAGAATGGGACACGGTACCGTCACTCTTTCGACACACGGCCGAGTTCAAGGAGGCGTTCGATCTGGCGTCTCCGGCATTGTGGAAGGCCATGATGGAACCGTCATGGCTTCCGTATCCACTGCGGCCGCTGATGAGCCTGCTGCCGCACCGCGATCAATCTGGCGACGCCTGGAGCGGCTGCCACTATTGGAGCAACTTCGAGATAGCAGATCTCGACTTCTTCCGCGGAAAACAGTATCAGGCTTTCTTCAAGGCGCTCGATGATACGGGAGGTTTCTATTTTGAAAGGGTAAGTGGATTTCCAACGGTATTTTCAGTCAGTATTGTGTGGTGGGCAAAGGATCGGACTTGGAAAAGAAGGCTCGGAGATGAAGAAGTTGAGGGATGTCGTTGGAGAATTGGAATGACAAGGAAGCCAAGCTTCTGCCTTCCTTCTCCACCGTGAGCTTTGATGCTCCTTCTTCCAAGACTTGCCGAGTCGCATCTCGTCCAACCACGTTCTCTCCCCTGTGCCCGAACCCTTGGCAGCCTGAAGTCGATCACTAACCAGGATTTTGCGTTGCATTTAGTGGGGTGACGCCGCTGTACACTCACTGGCCGTCGGCATGCTTCTCGACGCGGACAAAGTGCATCATTTTGAGGATTTCGGATACAGGCACGACGAACTGTTTCAATGCCCGGCTAATGCGCCAGACGGACAATTGCCTGGGTCTCAGACGCTTGGGAATGCGTCGTCATACTCAACACCAATTGATGGAGGAATCGGGTGTCGATGTGAGTGTGACGGCAAGGTAAGGAGGAACCATAACGGGTACTGCCTCAATAAGTTGAAGGAGCCGAACACTGCGCAGCGACCTTGGTTTTCTTGGACGTTGTAACGTGAGTTGGAGCGGTTGGATAGACGCGCGCTGGAGGAGACACACAGAAGTATACCCATGTTTTGTTAGAATACATAGAAGAAGGATTCGTTGATACAGAAATCTAAGCCCAGGTCAAGATCTTATTCAGATCCGCTTCCGTCTAGACCAATAACTCCAGGCACCTATAGTCACACACGTACATTACAAGGTCTATCTCATCAAGGAAGCTGGCGTAGCTCCTAATCTTCATCAGAGTCATACTTGCCTTGGTAGTCCCCAAGCAAGATGTCGTCCACCGCAAGTCCCGACGTGTTGTTCCGCAGCCACTCTGTTTCAATCCGGAAGAAAATCCATACCCATCGTCTGAATACCTCGAGTGACTGCAGTAAGAAGATGGAACTCTCGAAGTCGGTAAACTTGTCCAAGTGTGCGTTCAGCTTGAGCGACCAGGTACACCGCAGCATCAAGTCCATCCCGATCACACCATAGTAGATGACAGGCTGCTGGAAAACAAGCCGCCGGCGAAGCCCGAACGGGTGCTCCGGATTGTTGCGCTCGCGTGCCGACGAGAATAGTGTCAGGTCCCAATCCTTGGCAACATCCCAATACCACGAGTAAAGGGAGTTGACCAGCACTGCCACCAGCCATGCTCTGTTCAATCCAGGCGCTGGCTGATCAGCCGGAACGCTCCGCTGCAGTGCGCTGAAGATGATAACGGGGAAAGCCGTGGCGTATTTGGTGGCGTTGGCCAGATGCTGTCCGCCCCAGCCGACTGACTCCTTGTAAGGCGCTCTCCGGACTCGAAAGTACTCGATGATGCACTGCCTGAATCGTATCGCGAAAGGCACTGCCATGATGAGCGGCACTATCACTGTTCCGCCGCAGTTTCGGTCCGGTCGCGCAGTCGAAGACCCTGACGGCGTGAAGAACATGCAAAGCACCACGTAAAGATCTCCCAGGATCTTGGAGTAGCTCGTCAATACATCGGCAAGCAGGATATCTCCAAATTTCCCATCCTTTGCTTCTGCTATACCTCCGATGCTCACGCGTCGCAGTGTAGCGAGAAACCGCGATCGCCCACCTTGCGAAAAGTTGCGGATGGGCACGAAGAACAGGGCCGCAAGGGCGACCAGGTAGGTCATCGGTAACCAGTCATACTCGATGACAAGGGCGGGGTTTCGACGGGAGAAGATCCAGAACGTCGAAATCGAGAGAAGGAAGGCCGTCGAAAGTACGGTCGCAAGGCGGTAAGTCGATAGGTGATGCGCCGGTTGTGTCGGAGAGGATCGCGAGGGATATCGAATCAGGGAGGGCACATCGATCTTGACTTTGTGCAGGTAGTGGAGGTTGACACCCCAGCCCCATACGGCTATGCCATAGTCAGCGTGTCATTTCAGTCTGCGCGCAGTCGCGACCTACCGAGAACAATAATGAATCCAATGCGATAGGGTAGGGGAAAGGTCAAGCTGAACGAGTCGAGCTGCGACTCAACCTTGGGATCACCATCCATGGTTTTTGGTGGAAGGGGGAAGAGGCATCGAGTGAAGGAAAGGAAAGGCGAACTCTCTGGAGCCAAAATTCGAGTGCAAAGGAGTGACGAGAATACAAAGAAGATTCAGACGAATTAAAATCCGAGTCGCTCAAGACGTGGATCGCAAAGCCTCGAGGTCGACCTGGAAATGAGGATAGTTTGTCCCGTACTCTGTACAGTTCAGGAGGTAAATTGTCCTGTACGTCTTATCGTTATCAATCAGGCGGATGGTCTGTGCCTCAAGGGACCTTACCACCTTACGTACCCCTGACGGCGCTGCAATAACGTCTAGCATAATTCTTAGGTAACTGACTGGGTCAAGAGGCTTTCCTGGTGATTCCAATTCAAACGCATTACCATAGGCTCGCGAAATGAGCATTGCCTAATCGTTTTAAGGATGTCTGGAGAGTTCAAAAGCTCTGCTTCACTTTTGTACCCAAGGTAAAACCTTGCAAGAGGTAAAGTCGAGGTCGAAAGCTGAGGCAAATGAGGTTTCCCTTATTAGCATGAAAGAAGACAATTTGAAGCCATCAGGCCCATGGCTTTGACACATGCGATGTGAATAGGGCCCTCACAAACATAGGTATTCTAATTCATCTTCGATCGAAGAGGGCATTGAGGGCTCCACGTCGCTGCCGGACGCTGGGTGCCGGGCTTGGCGGGCTTTCTTTGGGATTTGAGTGTCATGTCTCCAGCATTACTTGCAAATACACTGTGTGGTTAAGATTGCCCGAAACTTGTCATTGACTAGTAAACCAGCCCCTTGCAGTAAGACTGTTAGGGCGGCGTGGTTCAAGACTGTGTCAATTGATGCCAGCGGAGACAAGGTCCTTCGGGACTAATAAGCAGACATGTCAATGACAAAGTGATTTAGGAAACGCTATACTTAGAGCTGTAACATCTGAGGGCATATAGGCGCATGTGGCTTCGGTTCTGAGCTCATCACGGGTGTAGATGAGGAAGGCATTGTCGATGACCGCCATGTAGTACGGGCTACGTAGGAATAGCAAATCCTGGACGGTGAGCTATATTTCCGTATAAGTGACGGCTTCCATGGACACTCCCTCTGAAGGCGCAGTGTTTTTCTTCTCCAGTAGGCTTTCGGTAAGGTACTGCCTAACTCCAACCTTGATACTGCAGATTCGAGATGCAGGTGAGAATCAGTACACTAAGAAGGGTTTCTTCCAAATCCAGCCAGTCGCTCCAGGTGGTCCTGTAGTACAGCGGATACGTTTCCCCCACCCCTTAACAAGGTAAGCTTGCTTGCCAGATCTATATATTGAAGTTGCTGTTGGTAACATTTTCGACGGAGTTCTACGTTCGTATCACCAAGTTTCAAGGAATAGATGAAGATGACTAGTGGTGGCTGGCAACGTAAAGAATCTTTGAACTTTGATAGAACCAGTGATATAGGGGCGGATATATTAGAAAGTGACATGGAATGGCTCATTCACTCGTGCTCATGCTATTCGAATCGTATTCCTTTTCCCTCCCAGGATACCGATACATTATTGAAGATGTGCTTGAAAATCTTGAAATTTGACAGACTTATGTTTCCAAATGGGGGTAATGGCACAAAGAGCTAGAAAGCCTTCATTTGCTAGCTTGCTGGAACAAGTGTTCACAAAGTGACCAACGCTGAGCAATTTCAATCCCTCTTACATGCGAAAGATGCGAATTGTGCAACATGAACCAATCATCACAATTATTGGTCCATCTGTAATCTTGCGATACTAGCGAGCACTTGTTCACAACATGGTGGCTCCGCTGATGAGGAAAGTTTGTATAGTTGTTTTCATAGATTACACGAGTCTGTAGTGAGATATGTTTTAGGGCTAGAAGGGCGTGGCACAGAGACTATTGCATTCAAAATATCATTGCAGTCTATCAACCGCTCACTTGAGGTATCTAGATGATTGAAATGTCTAGCTTCATTGACAATGGGAACAGCTAACTAGGTACTGAGGTATCCTTACAGGCCCGTCATGGCCTCAATCAAAAACAAGCTATACTAGCAGTCCAACAGAAAAAAAAGCCAGTAGAAACCGACAATAAGCCACTCCAAACGACGAAGATGCGGCTCGGGTTCCCAAATCATGCTTTTCCCACCCTCCCAGGCCGCAACAGCATCTGGTATCTCTCCAGCCTCCCAATTTACTCCAAACGCCACTTGGCAGAGTGCCATTTCCAGGACCGACCCCAAAACGTAGTCCAACAGAGAGAAAGAACGGTTACTTTACATGCCAAGCCTCCAAAAGCTATGCATTAATCGAGTGGTCTTCGCCAAAGCAAGCAGCGAACGTCTATGCCTCCACCGCAACAGCCGGGGCGCTGACTGCTGCTGGCTCGGGCTGGTTGAGCTCCTCCTCCTCGGCGATCTCGCCGCCTGCTTCGCGTTCAGCCCAGGCTCCCCAGAGGCCACGCTTGGCTCGGACTTTGATAGGTGCGCCGAGTGTCTCGCCCTGCTCAACCTTGATCGCGTCCTTCGTGGCCAAGACCAGACATTCGAAAAACATCTTGGTGGCGTCAGCCTTCGTCGTTCTCCCCTCGGGAAGGAGGTCTTGGAAGACCACGGCAGTCTTCTTGCGCTTGTCGGCGTCGTGCTCGGCGTCGGGGCCAAAAATGTCTCTTAGCACGTGGACAGCGTGCTTGGTACCCATAGAAACCGGACCACTGTCCTGAGGGTGGACGGCAGGAGCTGTTGTCTCGTCAAAGTCGGGCATGGCGCTGCCTTCGCGCGAAACAGGTCGGCCGGTGTTGTCGTCGTCTCCTCCAAAAGCAATGCCCTCCTCATCAGCCGGGATCTCAAGAATAGTGCCATCGGCCGCTATGCTTTGGTTGCCCAACCCGGCATCTTCGACAGCAAACGCGTCATCCTCTTCGACATTCAGGCGAGGCGACTTGGATGTGGCGCCGTTGTCACTCTCCACATCAGCGATTCCGCTATCCCGCTTCCTCTTCAACTCGTTTGATCGGCTGACAGCCTCGAGGGAAAGCATTCCTCTCAGCTCAGGTGCCCAACCGGCACTGCGACCGTCAAGCATGATGTTGGAGACGAAGCCGCCACTCTTTTGCATCTCCATAAGAGCCAGAACGAAAGGATCTCTAGGCAAGAACGATTGAGCTCTGAGGATATTGGCGTGGTTGGCTTGTTGGTCTTTGATGTGAGTGCTTGAAAGCATCGTCTGCTCGTCAGGCAACAGAACCTTCCTCTTCTTGGCTCGTTGGGGATGACGAATGACTGTATGCTCCTCCTCCTCATCTGGCTCATAGAGATCTGTGTGCTGGATACGGGAGTACTCCTCCTCAACTTCTCTCGCGAACTCCGGGTCGATTTCTGACAGTGGTGATTCGGAGATACGACCACGAGGCATATCCAGAGGACCGCCAGCAAGACCGGGAACAACAGATTGATCGCCGAGAGGGAATTGGAAGTCGTCATCGCCCATTTGAATGTCACCCTCCTCGTCAGCGATACGGACGGTGTCGTCGCCAAAGTCAAGGTTCAGACCCAGTGAAGGCTCACGTTCGGTCTGGTCCTTGCCTCGCGGCATGATGTCGAGCTCGCTGAACATGTCGTCCTCGACTGAGCGAGCCAGAGGCGCGTCTCTTCCCATTTCGATGGTCGTATCCATGCGGGTGGGTCGCTCATCAATGTCCATGCCAAAGTCGAGTTCAAGATCGAGATCTTCCATAGGTGCAAGCTCCAGTTCGTCATCGAGGGTGTCCGCCTGGTTGAGGAATTGGCTGTTGTTGAAATCCTCTTGAAGGTTAATGTCGCGGTTGCTGACACGCCCCTTGCGACCGACTGGAGTAGCTGTGACATCGTCCATTTGCGACAAAAGCCAAGCGGCATCAGGAGGCGGCGGGAGATCCAGGTTGTCTAGTGGAGTAATCTTGTCAGGCAGCAGCAGCGCTTCGCGGTTGTTGACGTAGAGATTGGCGGCTGCCATGTCGTGATTGTCACTCGAGCGGAAGGCCTACACAAGTCAGTAAAACGCGTCAAATATCCAAGCAGGAGGCAAGAAGCGCACCATCTTGATCTTCATTGAAGCCTCATTGCAATCCTCGAGCAGATAACGGGCTTTGCGATTGTAGATTCTGACAACACCCAGCAGCAACTGGCCACTTAAACGAAGAGCCATCGGGGCCTGGCCAGGCGTAATGATAGCCTCTACACTGTCCGGCAGGTTGGACTGCAAAATGTGCGTCTTTGAAAGTTTGCGCTCAATGTTGGCCGACAGCCAAACGCGGGCCAACGGCCCGCTCTTCTGGAGAAGCGTCTCCGAATAGAACATGGCGGCGACAACGATTCGTGACGCGAGGGTGTTGATGCAAGAGGCGAGAAGCAAGAGGTACTCCTCGTTAGGTATATAGGCAGCGACGCGCGCCGGTGTTGGAGGGGTGGTTGCGGAAGCTCTCGTAAACACGAAAACGCGTTGTTATGGGGAATCGGGTCGCGTTGGGGATGTAGCGGTCGGGGCGAAGTCTAACACGCGCGGAGTACGAGGCGCGGTGACATGAAGCAAGTCGTGAGGATCGCGAAAGGCTGAAAAGTAAGTTGCAGCGATAGCAATAGTAGCAAGAGCGCGATGTGCAGCGATGAGGGAGATGGAGGAAATGAGCAGGAGGGGGGGAGTCAAGGTGTGGTGGTCTTCTCTCTCTCGACGCCGTGCCGGTGGACGCAAATTGACGGGGCTGGGATTGGGCAGGGATTGGTCCGCGCAGAATTTGGTGGCACCAGCCACATCACGTGAGACCGTTGCTCCGCTCTTGGATCATCAACTTGCTGACCCGGCGACCATCCCGGAAGCAGCGGGTCATAGGTATCTGTCCGTCCTGTGACGGTGTGAAGAGTACATGGCAGGGATGCCAACTTCCCATGCCTTATCTAATCATTTTCAGGTACGAGGAGGACCGGAGCTTTACCAACAAGGAAGCTGTAAGTCGAAGCAGGCACCATGCATGGTGAATACCAC